CATGATAAATGATAAATGGCAATTCATGACTATGGTATTAAGCAATGTTTACAGTTCAGATAACCAAGGCATCTTTGTAGCAGGGCGAATGGTGGATTATGTTGACACCATGCTGTGTTTCGGTTTGACCTGAATGTATTACATGAAGGTCCTTGGGGCTGGGAACTGTGGGAATGTGTTACTTTGGGCATGCAGCTGAGCATTGTTTAAAGATATCACTGGAAGACATTAACTCCTTCTGTGTTTCAGCTGACCAAGAGACAATGGGCTAATGTAAGTGAAGTAACCTAGTTAACGTACAACTTTTTTTGGAAGGCTTTTCAAGTTTTAGTTTGTTTTATAATTAGAACAGATTCATGGAATTATCTCATTGCATATGAAAATATGCTATTTATTGATTTTTTGAATTTACTTTTAGGGCTTATAATGCATTATAATGGGCAGCACAGTGGCTTAATGGTTAGCATTTTCGCCTGACAGTATTAGGGTCATCGGTTCGAATCCCAACCACGGCACCACCTTCCTGGAGTTTGCATGTTCTCCCTGTGCCTGCGTGGGTTTCCTCAGGGTACTCCGGTTTCCTCTCACACTCCAAAGACATGCTGCTAGGTGAATTGGCTCCTGTCTAAATTGGCCCTAGTATGTGTATGTATGAATGTGAGTTAGGGACCTTAGATTTTAAGCCCCCGGAGGGTTAGGGACTGATGTGAATGTACAAAATATATGTAAAACCGCTGCATAAATTGACGGCGCTATATAAGTACCTGAAATAAATAAAATAATAAAAAATAAAATAATTGATCCATCTATTAGAAATGTGTAATACTAGAACTCATTGCTTCAAATGATCACTAATTTTATGTAACTGAGAAATTTAAAGCTCAGCTGCAGGAAAACAGCTAAATACACAGCAAAATACAAAGGATTTAGTATTCTCTCAGGATGCATTTGTGAATAAAAACCTCTGCCAGAAAGCATAAACAGATGGGTGAAACCACTTTTTTTGTTACTGTGATGCCTTCTCCTCATGGATACATACTGGTGGTTATTTACTGAAACTGAAAAGTGCAAAATCTGGTGCAACTCTGAAGCTAATTGGCTACCATGCGCAGCTGCACCAGATTCTGAGTGCACCAGTTTTAGTAAATCCACCCCACTGTCACCAAAATGCTGTTCACTCCACCTGTTTGTGTGTTGCATATCAGAACATGTAAATGGAACAGGACAATATAAGCTCCTTGTGCTGTCACCCAGTTTCCCAGTCCAAGATTCCCTATCCGAGTTATGGCTATTTATATCTCCCTGACCAATCACTATCAGGTTTATTGCTAGAGGTGAATGCGGGGGGGGGGGGGCTGACCTTCTGGAAGCACTCTTGCTGTTGTTCCTGGCCTCCCAGGTCAGCTGCAGGGAGTTCCCCAGAAAGGTTGACCAAAGGCTGTGGCCAAAAGCTTGCATTGCCTGGCTGAAGGTGCGGCCCAGGAGGAGTTCAATGCTATTCTGAACGGAAGAAGAAGTAGGAAGGAACTTCATCTACTGAAGAGTGTTCTGAAGAGCAAGACGAATGCTTCAACACTGCAGGATGTCTGGTAGCCTTAAAGTTTGGAGTACAAAAATTGTTCTTTTGGGTATCCTATGCCCTAACTCTCTCTCCCTGGAATTATTTGCCTATAAATAAATTCTATTGTCTATCCAAAAGTAACCTCCTCTGATCTTTTCATGCCCTTGCTACAAATCACCGTGAGATGAAATGTCAGACCACCTGACCCTTTGGGGCTTCCCAATAGCCTCCAGATTGTAAAAGTGCTACAATTTTTTTGAAATCATTTTTAAAGGCATATACAAATCTTTAAATTGTGTTTTATACCTACTTTAAACTTTTGTTTACACCTTTAACAGAGTAAACACTCTTGGGAGTTTAAAGGTGTCATATCTCAGTGAGATTTTTTTTTAATTGAAGAACCATACTTTTCTCTAAAATCATAGATTATGTTTACAACTTAATAAACTTAATCCAAATATTACATAAACAAACAAAATTAGGGTTTTTGTTGGCCTCCAAGTACCAACATCATGTGTATATATAACACAGTACAATTAACACTATTGCACAACTGTAATAATGTCATCTGCAAGAAAAAAGTCTGTATAATCAGGGCTGGTGCTTCCACTAGAAAAAGTAGACACCTGCTTAGGGTGCACTGCCACCTAGGGGTGCCTGGGGAATGCCAGCCGGAGATCTGTGAGAGTGTGGATCCATCATCCTCCACTCACTGCAACTGTCACTCTGTCACTGAGAGCCACAAATACAGTCCATCTGTGACACTGATTTTGTCTTTAACATTGGTGTTGGTGGCTTCTTATGCACTTATTTTTGCAAACTAAAAAGAAATTTAGCAGTTTCATGTTTTGTTGATGTAATATTTCTACTGTTACGCAGGTAGCTGGTTTTACCTAGTGTGATAATTGTGCGCACAGATATGGACGCGGACAACCATTTTGCGAAGATCCACCATCTTGTATCATACTCTGCAAATATCATTCTCTATCCCTCCAGCCCTTTCCCCTTGCAAGAAATGTGGTCTGTGTGTGTGTTGAGTTCTGGAGTGCACAGGGCACAGCTGGATATGCTTCATGGTTGTAAACCCAATTAGCTGGTTCCATGAAGTCTGTCAGACTCTTGCCTTGGTCTGGTCGTAAAGCTATAAATCAGTCCGTCACTGGACATGAAACCACTTTTTCACACAAATTTTTCATACAAATTCCAAAATCCAGCCAGGAACAAGGTACAATAAAACAAAGCATATATTCAGTAAGGTCAGTTTAATACGAGTCACCCGATACCTTACACCCCTATGTGGCACCTACACGAGAGTAGAAAGCAATATGTCTTTATCTGGAACGATAAGATATGTCATATTTGATGTCAGGATATCATTCTGCATATTAATCTACCAGTGGCTAGGCTGCTACATGTACCTAGTGAAGGTTATTGGCCATGGTATAAACTTGCGAGGGATTTGGGTCGTAGCCTGAGTCCCTGCCTAAACACCCCTCCCCAAATGAGGCGATTGGTTCTCTGCTTTAAGGAGACACCCTGCTGGGTTTCTAGAAAATAGGCTGTCATGCCTGGAGTAAGAATGAAGCGATTCTCCCTTTTAACATCAGGAACCAACTTTGGGAGAAAAGGCACCCTTTTGTTCAGGACACTTGAATGCTGCTTAAACCCAGGACTTCTGCAGGTATCCTACCGTCTTAACCACTTCCAGATCGGACACTTTTACCCCCTTCCTGACCAGGGCAATTTTCAGCTTTCAGCGCTATCACACGTTGAATGACAATTGCGCGGTCATGCAACACTGTACCCAAATGAATTTTTTACCATTTTTTTGAGACAGATAAAGCTTTATTTTGGTGGTATTTATTCACCGCTGGGATTTTTATTTTTTTTGCTATGTAAATGAAAAAGTCCAAACATTTTGAAAAAAAGTGTTTTTTAAATAAAATTTTGCAAATAAATAATATTTCATCATAAATCCTTGCCAAAATTTATTCTGTTATCTTTTTAGTAAAAAAAAAAAAATCCAAATTAGTTTATAACCAAAAAATTATAATTTTTAAACTTTTTTTTTTTACATTTTTATTTTATTTTTTTTTTATATTATTATTTTTTATTTTTTTACATACTGTCACCCTAGCAGTACAGTGTCACCATGGTGACACTGTACTACTTGTGGGGGGTGATGAAGATTTTTTTTATTTTTTTTACACATTGCTTTTACACCCATATAGGATGTAAAAGCAATCATTTCTCTTTCTCTCTGTGTGCATTCTTGCACTCATTGACAAGTACTGAGTGAGCTGTGATTGGTCACAGCTTGTCACATGGTACAAGCCTGTTGTGAATAGGCTTGTACCATGTGACCTCTGTGATCATTCACAGATTTCACACGTAGTAAGCAATGCTGTCACAAGTGACATCTTACTTACTACTTTGCATGTGATCACTGATTGGCCAATCAGTGATCACATGATCGGGACCTCGTACAGAGGTCCCGTCCGACGAGCGGTGTTTCACTGTGTCCAGAGGACACAGCGGGCTCCGGATCGCGGTGCTGCGCGCTCCCAGGGAGCGCGCACAAGCAGGGTGCGGGGAGGCCGTTTATAAACGGCCACCGACCCTGCACTGCCACCGTCCGGCCGTTTATATGCAACGGCCGGTCGGGAAGTGGTTAAACTTCTTTCTTTTATCCCTCTGTTGTGTTATTGCTCTCTCTATTTACTGTATATATATATATTGGTTACATCTTTTCTGTAAATATTTTTATTGCACCATTTTAACCTTTTTAGTAATAAATCCTATTTTGTGAAAAGTGTTGAACTGTTTCCAAAGCTCTTTAATGCAAACAAAGAATCCCTGTCTGAAGAGTGCTACTGTGTGTTTTAAAACCTCTGGATACATCTGTCCACGGTGACAGTGTGTATACAGATGCTTATTCAAACATCATAGTGTTACTGCTAAGATTTGTGAGTTTCCTTCTTCTCAGTAAAAAGGTGGTGGTGGCAGTGTGAATGTTTAATTGCGTAATTAACCTGACCCAGTAACAATCGCTCTCAGGCGGCTGGCACATAGATTGTGGTCCTGCGAGCTGGAAAATCTCTGTGCAGGGTGCAGCTGAGAGTGGCATTGTTATGCAAGTGACAGCACGGTTTTATAGATTGGCTAGTCCTTCGGTCACAAGTTGGTTTGAAGGGCTAGGGTCTAACGTCGCGCCCGTCACACCTAGGGCGCAAAATAGTCTAGCACTGGCCCTGTCTATAATGCACACACTGTAAATGACTTCATGGAACCCTAAAGGGTAGTGGTAATTGTATGGAACTACTTTGTTATGTGCATATACACTATATTGCCAAGGTATTGGGACACCCCTCCAAATCATTGGATTCAGGTGTTCCAATCCCCTCCATGGCCACCGGTGTATAAAATCAAGCACCTAGGCATACAGACTGCTTCTACAAATATTTGTTAAAGAATGGGTCACTCTTAGGAGCTCAGGTACTGTGAGAGGTTGCCACCTGTGCAATAAGTTCATCTGTGAAATTTCCTTGCAATTAAATATTCCACGGTCAACTGGTAGTGGTATTATAACAAAGTGGAAGCAACTGGGAACAACAGCAACTCAGACATGAAGTGGTAAGCCACGTAAAATGACAGAGTGGGGTCAGCGCATGCTGAAGAGCACAGTGCGCAGAAGTTGCCAACTGTCTGCAGAGTCAATAGCTAAAGACTTCCAAACTTCATGTGGTCTTCAGATTAGTACAACAGCAGTGTGTAGAGAGCTTCATGGAATGGGTTTCCATAGCTGAGCAGTTGCATCCAAGCCTCACATCACCAAGTGCATCTAAAGCATTAGATGCAGTGATGTAAATCACACCGCCACTGGACTCTAGAGCAGTGGAGATGTGCTTTCTGTAGTGATGAATCACACTTCTCTGTCTTGCAATCCAATGGACGTGTCTGGGTTTGGGAGTTCCCAGTAGAGTGGTAATTGTCTGACTGCACTGTGGCAAAGTATAAAGTATGGTGGAGGGGTATTATGGTGTAGTGTTATTTTTCAGGGGTTGAGCTTGGCCCCTTATTCCCAGTGAAGGGAACTTTTAAGGCGTCAGCATACCAAGACATTTTGGACAATTTCATGCTCCCAACTTTGTGGGAACAGTTTGGAGATGGCGCCTTCCTGTTCTAACATGACTGCACACCAGTGCTCAAAGCAAGGTCCATCTTTATGGATGAGTGAGTTTGGGGTGAAGGAACTTTACTGGTCTGCCTAGAGTCCTGAATTCAACCTGATAGAACACCTTTGGGATGAATTAGAGCAGAGACTGCAAGCCAGGCCTTCTCGTCCAACATCAGTGCCTGACCTCAGAAATGAGCTTCTAGAAGAATGGTCAAACATTTCCATAAACACACTCCTAAACCTTGTGGACAGTCTTCACTGAAAAGTTGAAGCTGTTATAGCTGCTGAGGGTGGACCAACTTAATATTGAACCGTACAGACTAAGACTGGGAAGCCATTAAAGATAATGTGTGTGTAAAGGCAGGCATCCCAATACTTCTGGTAATATAGTGTGTGTGACTTTTGTACTTGGCAGACAACAAATAAATAATTTTATGTGTTTTGTGTCATTTGTGGATAACTTTTATAAAATTTTACAATCTTTGATTTTAGAGAAAAGCTATGATTTTTCTGACTACGATAAGACACTTGTAAAGTCCCAAGAGTGTTTCCTCTATAAAAGGTGTATACACAAGTTTATAATAGGTATAAAACATCATTAATGGAGTTGTATATTTATTTAAAAATTATTGTGAAAAAACTGTCACAGTCTGGAGGACCCCCAGAGGTCAGGTGGGCTGATATTTCATCTCTGGGTGATGTCCCTGGATCCCAAGAATGCTTCCTTTGTAAATAGTTTTGATTGTAAGGACAGGGAGACACAACTTCTGTATTCTGTCTTAATTTCCTAAATGTCAAAATCTGTGTTAAACTATATCACTTCTTGTATAATACATCTGTGATATGACAAAAGAAAGAAATTATATCCTGGGAAATTTTTACTGAAAATAATATTGCAGCATGTAGAAGAATACTAAAATGATTTGTGCTTTACAACCTTTGAGGAACGTCACTTTAGAGTTCTAAAAATGTGTTTGGTCGGGTGAAGATTATTATGGTTAATTATTCCAGGAACAGGTGTTGTGTTTTAGAATAGAGGGTTTCTTACAACAGCTGTAAAGCTGTAATTATCAGACAATTTCAGGATGTCATGTATGTTTGCACACATTTGTGTTTGGATAGTTATAGCCCAACTGAAGCTTAAAAGCAAAGTAGAAAAATACATTCCAGAGTCTGGAAAAAATGTAAAGTGTTTGCAAACACTAACTATGATATTCTCTTATCTTTGGTCTGTTAAAATAGCATTGAAAGTGTTTTTTTTATAACAGTTTGATAAATGAAAATAGAAAAGGGGGATGGATTGAGTAGTTTAGCAAGAGACAACTGGGAAGGCTGACACCACTCAGTCCACATAATTCTGTGCATTGTGAGCCCATAACAGTATTCAGGCACTAACCACATTTCTGGCAGATCGACAGGTATCTTTTTAAACTTACAGGGACTTTAAACAAAGGAAAAATGGGAAATCATGCATGTATTGCAGAGATGCACTTGATTTTTTTTCTTTTCTTTGCTTTGATGCTGTGGATTTTTACCGTGTTCAGTAGTGAAATAGGTCTACAGTAGCAGCTCAAAATCCAAAGCAAAGACAGCAGACTAAATTGTGTGCTTTCCAAAATCAGTTTTGAATAAGATTCAAGCCCACTGATCTACTTTAAAGTATATGTATATCGTCATCATTTCTCTCTATATTTTTTAGGGCACACAATATTTTTGAAGGGATCCCTATGCATCCCTAGCAGTTTGTAGACCTGGGGCGGAGGTTCATACTAAGCACCTGGTCATAATGCTTAACTAATTTAAACACAATTTTGCCAAATATATTATTTTCTGTATTATATGCATTGTATTTCCTTCCATGGCAGGTAGGTGCTGGAGTTTTGAAGCACTTTGCTTTTTGCCTCTCACTACTTTGTCCACTGAACATCTCTTAGACTTTCCTTCAGGAACCAGTGCCAATCAATTGCTCATGACCTCCCCAGCAGGCATGGCCACCTGTGATGTGGGCAGTTGAATATGGGAAAGAAGAGCCTGGGCACTACTTATATTGGAATGGGTGCAGGAGGGATGCCTATGGATAGTATTTTCACCCTTAACCAGAATGAAACTGGCAAGATTAAGGTGGTTCAAAAGGGCTGAAGGTTTTTTTTTTTCATGTTAATGCATTCTCTGCATTAAGATAAAAGGCCTTCAGTATGCAGCTCCCCCCCTTTACGCTTACCTGGGGCCAATCTCAATCCAGCAATGTACATGTGAACAGAGGTTGTCTCAGCTTTCTCCTTCTTCATTGGCTCAGGCACTGCCAGTGAGGAGGGGGTGGGCTGTGGAGCTGAGGCATGCTCTGTGTGTCTAAAGACACACACAGCCAGCTCGGAGCAAGTAGGCACGAGTGCTCCCATAACAAGTGGCTTGCCATGGGGGCACTTGGCAGGGCGGAGGTGCTAGGAGCACTGGCAGGGGACCCAGGAAAAGGAGGATTTGGGCTGCTCTGTGCAAAATCATTGAAAAAAGAAGTATAACTTTTCTTTTGTTAATGGTGAACATTTACAATCACTTTAACCACTTTCTGCCCAGCAGATGTAGCTTTAAGCTTTACTGGTACTGGTCGGCCGCTCTGTACCTAATCACGTATATACATGATTCTGCATTTCCAGGTAGGGGCCTGCTGTCATTGGCTCCCTTACATGTCAATGTGTATAGAAAAACCTTCAGTGCAACAAAATATCCTAAATAAATGTGCAGCTAGCATATAATGTGTTCCCACATCTAACAAAGTGAATAAAGTAAAATAAAGAAATGCAGCGCAACAATAAAATGATAAAATAGTGCTTACAATCTTATATGTGCGTATATAATGGCGATGTTCAGTCTGTTATGCTCTTGAGGATCAGTATACGTTACTCATGATATCATTTAAATCCTTAAATCATATGACGTGGACTTCCGTGGTACACTGCTTGTATATGGTGATACAAATATACCCACAGCAAAAAGTGTCAATCAAATACAGTCTAAATAGTGATGGAACGTCCCTTTAAATACACTAAGTGAACCAGTGTAATCACATTGCTGCATAAACATGTACGGTGCTCCTGTGTCACTCCTTAGCTGAATGAAGTTGCATGGTGTCAGGTAACCCGTAGAGTACCCCAATGACGTCAAGCCACCGGAAGTCGACGTGCCACCATTTGAAAGAGGGATTTCCATACACATTGGGCAAAATACACTGTATAGTGAGTTTTAACCCTGTAGTGTCCCAGAAGTACACATTTTAATGTGAGTACAATAAAGGTTTTAATAAAGGCTGATTTTAGCAGAATATACTACACTATATTGAGAATTTTGTTTTCATGGATATGGAGCGAGCTGGATCTGCTTAAATGTGCTGGCAAACTGCAGTGGAGATCTGTGTACCATTATACCCTCCCAGTTAAAGGGAAAGTCGCACTAAGGGGTGACAGAGGAGTTTATGCAGCAATGTGATTACACTAGTTCACTTAAAGTACAGTGGATTTAAAGGGATGTTCCATCACTATTTAGACTGTATTTGATTGACACCTTTTGTGGGTATATTTGTATCACCATATACAAGCAGTGTACCACGGAGGTCCACATCATATGATTTAAGGATTTAAAGGTACAGATCACTATTTAGGATTGTGCATCCACATCATATGATTTAAGGATTTAAAGGTACAGATCACTATTTAGGATTGTTGTGTGCACTATTTATAGCACTGATTTTGTGTAGTTTTTATGGGAGCTTAGAAGTACGCATTGTATAATATCATGAGTAACGTATACTAATCCTCAAGAGCATAACAGACTGAACATCACCATTATATAGGCACATATAGTATTGTACGAACTTTTTTATCTTTTTATTGTTGCGCTGAATTTCTTTATTTTACTTTATTCCTTACATGTCAATCATCGGGTCCCGGCCAGTGATTCAAGGCTGAGCCCCGGTGATCAGCAGAGTGAATGACATGAGAGAGATCTGTGTATGTATAACACAGATCTCTCTCCTGTCAGTGGGGATGAGCTGTTTTTTTTCTCCCTGCAAAGCAAGGAATAAAAACTAGCGCATCTCCTAGTAAAGCACATCACAGTACACAGTAATAACACTTCCTGGCACACAGTTAAACTTTTGATCACCCCAGATGTTAACTCCTTCCTAACCAGTGTCATTAGTACAGTGACAGTGCTTTTTATTAGCATTGATTACTGTATTAGTGTTATTGGAGATATCAGTCGCAGTTAGTGTCAGAATGCCCGCCGTACTATAATAGTCTTGCTATAAGTCGCTGATCGCTGCCATTGCTAGTAAAAAAAAAAAATCTAATATCTATACCATTGTTTGTAGATGCTATAATTTTCATGCAAACTAATATACACTTACTTGGATTTTGTTTTTACCAAAGACATGTAGCAGAATACATTTTGGCCTAAACTGATGAAGAAATGTTTTAATTTCTTTTATTGGATATGTTTTATAGAAAAAAGTAAAGTAAAATATATATATATATATATATATATATATATTAAATGTTTGTTCTTTTTTCGTTTATAGCACAAAAATAAAAACCCAGTGCTGATAAAATACCACCAAAAGAAAGCTCTATTTGTGTGAAAAAAAATTGC